CAACCAAAACGAGCGGGGCGGATAGAAAGAATTTGGTTGAATTCTGGTCGGGATAGGGGGGGTGGGGGGTTGGGGGTAGGGGGAGGGGGAAAGGTCTGGGGCGAGGGGGGGGGCGGGAAAGAACAAGGCAGAGGCTGGTGGGAGGCCAAAGAACGAAGAGGCTTCACTGTGCGCACGCCCCGCCAGGCCGGGGTCGGCGGATATAGGGATGGGTTAGTCACGGCTTTGTTGGGGTAGGGCTTCCTTGGGATGCTGTTACACCACGCAGTAGCTTCTTTCCAAGACATGGTGTTTGGGGCGTGGCATTCTTTCGAGGATCCACTTGTGTCTTCCTTTGTAAAGGGAGGATCCGCGAATTCCAAATGAGAGCTGGCATGAGGAGGGTCGTACCCTCTGGCATAATCATAGTCTTGTTAAAGAGGATCCTCAAAGAGAGGGCCCCTGATTTTCAAGTCCTATGTACTCCCGGTTTTCATCTCATCTTCCATCATCTTTTCCATTTGATTGTCGTCAATCCTTATACATCCCTGAACCCCTAAACCCTATACCTTAATCTTACTTAACCCTGAACCGGCCGGAATCCTAGGTCCGTTGGGGAGGATGCCTGGGCAGAGTTTGGTGCTGCCCTTTCAAACAGCTGCCGCCTGGCCGCGACAAGGGTGGCCTACGGCACAGAGGTAGACAGGTTAACGTCAAACAGGGGCATAGCAAATAAGGATTGCCCTGTACGGAAATGGAGGTTTAATGGGCTCCTTGCCACTTTCTTGGGTGGAATGGCAAGATACGTGGCGCATGTATCAGGACATAAATAACAACCAAGATTGGGATTTCATCATGTTTCATGGTAGCTGATTTAGAACCACGCAGAGCGATTCAGCAGGACTGAAGCCCAAACCCCATTCGGCTTCGGTACTTCTCACAATTATTTACGATATACCCCCGCATGAGGACGCCCACAAGTTTCTTGTAATCCCTACGCGTCCTTAGAGCCCGCACCTAGAACCACCAAAGCTTAAATCCCAAACCCTCAATCCTAAAGCCTCAGCCTCAACCCTAAACCCAGTGCCTACCCCCTCCCCCCGCCCTTCGAGAAACTCCCGCCTCAGTTGCAAGATGCAAGGCCACGGGTTTGAGGGCTCCCTACAAACCCCAAATCGGCCCCTAAAAAGTACACTTGAGGCCCCGAAACCCAGCGCCCAAAAAGGGCTAAAATTCTCAACCCAACACCCAAAAAGGGCTCAATGTAAGTACACCTGAGGCTTGGCATCTCTGAAGCTCTGCCAGAATCCTACTCTCGGAGACTCTGCCGCTGAAGCCTTCGCCAAAGCACTGGCAGGGAAGGACTGCAGCTGGGCCGGTTTAGAGTTAAGGGTAAAGGGTTCAGAGTTTGGGGGGTTTAGGGTATAGGGCTCAGGGTTGGGGGTATAGGATTCAGGCTCGATTCTGTTTCAGACCTTCCTTTATATCCATTCAACTGGAGTCTTCGTACATGTTTTTTTTTTTTGGTATCTGCATCTATGCTTGCAAGGGACTCAGTGGGGATATGTGGGGGGTTCCGGTTCTGAGAGGCATTTTCCCAAGTCATGCCATGGCAGGTCGCTGAAACATGAAGAATCGAATGGAAAAGAAAAGGGACAATGAAATGGAAGCTACCATAGTGATATGTTTTTTACTACAGCTACCAGAATGATGCGTTAGTATATAGGGATTCTACTATGCAAGGTTCTAGGGTTCGCAGAAGGCAAGAGGGTTATGCAGTATCGTCTTGTGTCTAGGAGTCCCTCAAAGGAGACGGTAGACCCTAAGCCCTAAACCCTAAACCCCTAACCCCTAAACCCTAAACCACTAACCCCTAAACCCTAAACCCTTAAGCCCTCAACCCTAAACCCTAAACCCCTAACCCTTGAACCCTAAACCCCTAAGCCCTCAACCCTAAACCCTAAAGACGGCTGCATTCCTGCATGCCAGGCTCGGTTTCCCAGCTGGACGTTTCTTTCTGCAGCCTTCGCGCTGGCTGCTCGCAGTCCCCTTGCTGGGACCTCTAGGACAGAAGGATCAAGATCCTGTGGACGAGAGCATGTATATATATATATGAACATATGTACATGTTTGTAGATGGATATGTGTAAGTCTCGATGGAGAAAGATGTTCCGCCCCATGACACGTGCAAATGTGCAGATTTCTAGGGGTTAGCCCCAGGCCTGGTACTGTGTCCGCTATTCTCTGCAAAAACAACTTCACGTAGAAGTAATCAAATTCAAGCAATAGTTTGTACCTTGTTTCTTTGTATCATTACCGTTTGAACTTCACATAATGTTCCATTATCTATATATATATATAT